TAAGCAAAAAGCATATCAGCAGCAACAGACTATGGGCAATTAATATCAGGTGTAGCTCCATAGTCTGATATCTATAAATTTCCTTTCAGTGATTCATGACAAAAATTAACGTGTTATAAAACATACTGATATAAATTAAAATCGTTTAGATGAAGATTGCTTATATACATTCCACGTATTAAAAAATACATATTAAAACCTAATAAGTAAAAGTGGAAATTAAAGAGATAGAAATGTAGTTTCAGAAGGCCGAAAGGCAGGATTTCATAAGCTAGCACCATTATTTGAGCTGTCAATTTAGTAAATCCAGTAAGTTGATATTTTCCACACAGAATCAGGGCAAGGCCTGTAATTCCAGCACTTTGAGAGGTGGAGACAGGAAGATCACTTGAGGCCAGGAGTTCAAGACCAGCCTACGCAATGTAGTGAAATTCCCATATGTACAAAAAATACAAAAATTAGCTGGGTTTGGTGATATGCACCTGTAGTCCCAGCTACTCAGGAGGCTGAGGTGGGAGGATTGCAAGAGCCTGGAATGTCAAGGCTTCAGTAAACTATAATCATGCCATTGCACTCCAGCCTGGGGGACAGAGTGAGACCCTGTCTCAAAAATGAAAAACAAATTAGTTCCAAGGTGGCTGATTAGCCATTATTCAAACTCATAAGAGACAATATATTCATTTAGTATGGGACCAGGAAGTTACCCTGCTGTCTCCTACCCATACACTTCCTTTCCTATACCCACACACTGGGGAAGTCAAATTAGTCCTCAAAACACAGCTTGGTCAGAACTAATTCAAAGCAAAGGAAAGTGGTACTTTTGCAACCTTGGTAGTAGGGGTTTGGGTGTTTAATACACCATTGGGGTTCAAGAGACTCTGCTACTTACTAGCTATGACCTTGGGCAAGTTAATTACCTGCTAAGTGTCTCAGTTTCTTCATCTAAAAAAATGGGGATAATAGTAGTACTTACTTCATGATGTTGTTTTGAGAATTGAATGAGTTGAGGGAGTATATAACATACATGTACCAATATCTAGTACATAGTAAATGCTGTATGTGAGCTTATTTGCACTAGTTGTGTGAGGCATTTCGGGTAAAAATGAAGAAAACTCTCTAGGTGCACCTCCCATTTATGGCCAGATTATTCAAATGTGCCGAGTTCCTTGGGAAGATATTTTTCTTTTTTTGTTACAAAGTGGCAAGGTGAAAGAGAAACAGAAAGAGGATAAATATGCTTCAGAAATAGAAGCCTAATTTCAAGAAATCCATATAGAACGTCTCTGCTTTCTGACTTCAATATTTAATTAATTTCAATGGATTACATTGCTAATACTTCCTAATTGGGTCAGCTGGACTTTTCACCATTGTTCCCTCATCTCTCCAAAAACTATTTGTTTAAGGAGCTGTGCAAGCTGTCTTACAAATGGAGTTGGACAACGGCTTTAGTGCATTCTATAAATTGGAATCTGTACATCTGTAAATTATGCTGACAGGCACTTCTATAACACAATGAGGTCAAAACAGTCTCACTGAAAATGGCCTTTTCATGCTGTATCCAAGCCAAAAGCGGGGAAAGGATCATAAATGTACCATGTCATATATGCAGAAAAAAGTTGTTAAATTCAATCCAAGACACTGGTTACTTTTCAGCCAATTTTAAAGGGACTAAGTAATACAAATCTTAAACAATATAGTAATAGGATCTTAATCAAAGGTATGTTTAGGAAGAACCTATTATATGAAAATATACTGTGTTACATGCTGCAAGTATAAGAAAATTATTAAGATACAGTTCCTGATTTTAGAGAGTTTGCAGTTTAAAAGAGGAACCAAAATAATGCATGCAATTGACTAAATGAAACAAAACACAGTATAAATGCCATGAGTCAGAGGAAAAGTTTAGACTGAAAGAACACAGCAGGATTGAATTGATATTCTAAAATTCAATTCATTCATTTAATTGCTATTTCTGGAGTATCTCCTATGTGCCAAGTCATAAGATGTAGCTGGTCCTATGAAAGGATGCTAATATCTATAAACTCAATTTTTGACTAGTTTCCAGGTTACAGGGTAGAAAGGGAAAATAACTTCAGCTTCAGAGTTAGAAAAACCTGAACTAAAACCTTGCCCTACCGATGATACACTGGGTGACTTGAGCAAATAATTTGTCATCTTTGATTTCCTCTTTTAACCTCATCCTTCATTTAGTTAATGAATACATTAGTCCTTAACTATGTCTGGAATACATCCCATTCTCTTTAACCCTACATCTTAAGTCCTAAGACAATGACCACATCATTTGTTACAGATTCTGTAGCCTAATGAGTCACTTCTCATTATTCACAAGATGTAAGTCTACTGTTCTTAACAAGGCATTTAAGACTTTCAATGAGCTGAACTCTGCTTACATTTTTAACATCATGTGATAATACTCCTCCGCATATACTCTACATATCTTTAATTACCAGCCTGTGGTGTGTCTCTGTGCCTCTATACATGCTATTCTTTTTAAGAGATAAGATCTTGCTTTGTTCAGGCTGGAGTGCAGTGGTGCAATTACTACAACCTTAAACTCCTGAGCTTAACAGATCCTCCTACCTCAGCCTCATGAGTAGCTGAGACTATTTTACTTTTAATAGAGACAAGGTCTCACTAACCTGCCCAGGCTGGTCTCAAATTACTGGGATCAAGTGATCCTCCTGTCTTGGTCTACCAAAGTGCTGGGATTACAGGTGGGAGCCACCATGCCCAGCATCTAATGCCATTATTTGTATATACGCTGATTACCTCAACAAGACTAAGCAACTGAGGACAAAGACAAAGCCTTTCACCTTTAAATTCTCAGTCTTAACATAATGCCTGCCATGAAGAAGCTATGTAATATTTATTGTAGTAATGAAGTCATGTTTGGGGATAAGTAGGAAGAACCAAGAAGTGCTTTCTGAAGGAGGTAATAGTTAATGTCGGCCTTGAAAAAGTTTAAAAATATTCCCTGAATTTTAAATATGCAATTTTGGGATGTTCAGTATTTTAACATACATAAATGGGTGTGCATGTCTTCATGATTCTCTTCTTTCTTTTGACTGAGTGTTGCTCTATGGCCTAGCCTAGATGCAGTGGTGCAATCATAGTTCACTGCAACCTCGAACTCCTGGGCTCAAGGGGGCTGCTGTTTCAGTTTTCCCAGTAGCTGAGACTATAAGTGTGTACCATTGTGCCTATGCCCAGCTAATTATATATATATGTATAAGAAATGGGGTCTTTTTCTGTTGCCCAGTCTTGAATTCCTGGCCTCAGGTGATCCTTCCACATAATTGGGATTATAGACATCAGCCTCTGCACTTGGCTTCATTCTCTCTTACAAACATAACATTTTACCAGCTGAAGCTTTGTCTCTTCTATTCAAGGCCCTAAGTGTAATGATCTGAACATGGTAAAGACTTAATAAGTATCTTAATTATCTCATTTAAAGAAGCATCCTCCTGATGCCTCTTAAAAGAGAAAGACTCTTGATTTCAGAAAAGTATCACCTGGTTTTCCAGTATTTGATATCAAAAAGAGTAGACTTTTTCGCTGGGTCATAGATGGCCTTCCTTATGGTTCTACACCATACCTTTTAGCAAATAGAAATGTTGGTATTCACTCTGTGTATTTAATTTCTTCTGGACACATTAAAAAATACGCAAGGAAGTATACCACAATGTAAAGCACGAGGCAACCCCGGGCACCTCACTGCTGTTTAATTTAACTCTCCCTAGGCAGATCATGACTCAAATTGTCAAAGTATTAAGGTGGAGATCTCTCCACCCTGGATCATGTCCATTCAGGTTACCAGGGATGGTTAAGCTCCTAACTATTCTAGCAGATTTCTTATGTCTTAATACATGAAATTAACAATAGTTCCTGGGATATTCCACTCTTATCTATTACATGTTTCCACATATTCAAAATACAGAAGGAAAGCATGAACACCAATAAAGAAATTGAGTAATAGAAATCCAGAACACAGGGAAGAAAGAAAAAGTATATACTGCTGCAGTTAGCTTTTAGTAAAACTATTTCCATCATTCTGAATATTCATATTTATTAAAAATAAATCTAATTTTGGCAGCATATCATGGTTAGGAGCCAGGGAAATCGTCATGGGGACCTTAGTATTTTATTTCACAAGAGAGCTCTATGAGGAACCCTGGTTTATCTGCAAATCTTCGACTTGGAAATCCCTGCATATTAAGAAAGGTATTGGCTAAATTTGAGCAGCTCACGCAGCATCTAGAGGAAACACTCTTAAGCGGGATAGTGAAGCGTCTGAGATGCGGTTATAGCTATACAAACATAACTCAAGGCGCGGATTAGGGAGGCCAGTTTTGAAGGGGAAGTCTTCTCCCCGTCAAATGCTGAAGGTCTGCTTTCAATGTTTGAGCGTCTGCACTTGGGGAGTTTTCAGCTGGGTTCTCAGCCTGGGTTCACCTGTCGACTTGCTCCAGGCCAAACCAGATTTTGAAAAGGAAGGCAACTTCTTTTTCGCGGCAAACCTTTTGACCCACGCACCTTCTCACAACTCTGCCCTTCTCAACCCCTGAGCTAGTGTAAGCAGGGAGGCGGAAGGCGCTGGGGAGAGGCTCAGAAGGGGCGGTGGGGACGTGGGGACTATCCCCTTTCGAACTGCATTTGTAGCTGCCAAGGAGTAGCCAACAAGCACCAGATTTATGTGCACTTTGAAAGAAGCACCTTCACCATTGGCTTTTTAAGCGGCGCTGTCGCTAGGGAGCGGCTGGAAGAGAGGGCAGCCTCGGGGAGAAGCCCGAGCAGTTTGTCCCCGTCACCTGGGCGAGGAGGCACACACACACACACACGAACACACGCCGTTGGCGAGTTCGAGCCCCGCGGCCCGGGTCCGCCCGCGTGCACCCCTCGGCGCGGCTCGACCCCCGCCCCCCGCCGCCCGCCGCCCGCCGCCCGCCGCCCGCCGCCCGCCGCCCGCCGATTCCTGCTGCTGCCGCCCAGAGGAGAAAGGAACCTCTGCCTCGAATTTCTCCCACGGCGCCCGGCGCTGCGGAGAGCGGCAAGGGTGGGCACGAGGCGGAGAACGCGATGAATGAGTTCTCCCCTCGCCTCGGAGTTGTCTGAGTTGGCGGCGCTGCGCCCAGGCTTCCGGCTCTCAGCGCCCCACGCGTGCGTGGCTCCCCGGGCTGCCACCCACGCCCACGGCGGGGGCCGAGCCGGCCACGCAGGGCAGCCGAGGCCCCGGAGCTCCTGTCCTGGCCCCAGTCCGGGGAAAAGGAGGGTTGTCCCCAGCGGAGGCGCACGGCCGCGCGGTCTCCCCGCACTCTCCCCGCGGTCCCATCTGTTCCCCATGGCGTCTCATCCGCAAACCCGGATCCAGGCTTACCTGGAGAAGAACAAGATCGGTCCCCTGTTTGAGGTAAGGCGCTGTGGAGGAGGGTGGTCCCGTCGTCTTCAGGGGAAGGGGTGCAGTAATAAAAACAGAACAAGCGCCCCCACCCCTTCCAGGGAAGGAGGGATGGAGAACGAACGCGCTGGAGAGGGCACCCTGGGGTTCGCTGGCTTTTGCTCTGTCCCGGCCAGGTGTCCTGGAACGCGGCCGGCCCACTTAGCCAGTTACCTGAACGCGGACAGGTGAGCCCGGTTGGGCCCAGCCTCAGCCTGGCAGGGGAAGTTTGAGCCCTCTGACTGTCCTGCACCTCTCAGCCACAAGTTCAGGACCCGGGCAGGCTGAGGCAGGCAATGCAAACGGATGCACACACTCAGACTATGTTGCACACGCACACTTTGTTTCTGAATTCACGCTGTTTTGCGTGTTGGATTTTCTTTCGTTCTTTCTGTTTAATGAGGGCGGTAATAGAACCCGAAAAGGTGGAGGAGGTGTTACCAGTTAATACGATTAACTGGAAGAAAGCTGAACTGGTGAGGAGTAGGCTTCAGTAGGTGCAGGGTGTTGAATGAAATTGGCACTGGGAGACTGCCATTGGTCACTGGACGAAAGGAGAGTCCTTTGCACTGCAGACCCCACATGTGCTAGCAGGAGAAAGGGACGGAGAAAGGTTCTGAAAAGCACACGGGTATACATGGAAGGAGACTATAGCTCTGAGCTGCTTTTTTCCTCGCCATTAAAGAATTGATGATAAAAATACAGTAGAAGAAAGAGCGCGAGGACAAGAGAAAATGAGAACAAGATGTTGAAACCTGGCACCAGCAAAGTGTCCCGCGGGTTGCCAGGGCGCTGGGTAGGGGTGGGGCGGGTGGGGTCGAGGTGTTCCTGCCTTGCCCCCGCCCCCTACATCTCCCAGAAGCAGTTGCAGCTGTTCTTGGTTGGGAGTGAGGGCTGGGGCTGGGGGTGGGAATGGGGGAGGTTACGTGTCAGCGTCTAAGAGAGACGGAATCGCGGCAGGTGGAGGAGGGTGCACTGGAGATCGCGGAAAACGGCGCAGAGGCTGAAGAGAAGCAAGTGAGAACTGCAGAGAACAACAACAAAAATAATGCGAGTTAATGAAGCTGCAAAAAAAGGGCGAGGAGGACAAAGGTGTGGTCCAATAGGTCTTTTGGGAGGACAGGTTTCACATAACAAGATTTGCAAGATCTGCTAAGTTTTTCTGCCTAACTTTAACGATAATCTGTTTTGCACGATACGACCATTGTTTCCATTGAAGCTTGCATTGTGGGGTGCAGAGTCCTACAATTGCATCGATTCTTTTTTTCTGCCAAAAATGTTACCAAAGGCAATCCATGCAAGAACGAAATAAAATTGGCGGAACTACCAGATTTCTTTTCTTTGTCTTCAGTTTAATGATTATTAATTATACATATCCTATATAATTTTTTAAAGGCAGAAACAAAATCTGCGACGCATTGTATTAATTGCATTGAAAGAATCATAAAATGAATATTTAGAGTGTGTTTGCTCTCTACTCTCCTAGAGTATAAAATACAAGTGGCTTGGGAGAATAAATAATTTTCAATTAATACTGTTTTCATTTGTTATTTTAAAATTCCCAAGATTATTTCCAAATGATAATAGTAAAATTAGGAATATATGTAAACTTTGTACATAATTAGAAAATAAACCCAAATGGCTATTTGTCAAGTGCCCCCCGCCCCTACCTTTTAATGCTCACCATCATGTTCTGCACAGAAGAATTTTAAGTGATAGGAACATGTCTCATAAAAGCTTTAGGTTTCCTCACCAGAACACAAGCACCACCATGCTTCGTATTTTAATGGATACATATTACCATACACCTGCATTAGGTTGGATTGTAGTGATGAGTAGTGCACTTCTAAGGTTTGCTGTCCACTTTAAATAATCGAAGTGAGAAAACTGGATAACAAATTTTCTTTCACTAAAAGCTGGATATAACAGTTCCTTATGTAACAATTTTCATCATGATACAGCTTGGTTTTGAGAGTACAATTACATGTATTTTACAAAATTGGATGATTTTACTAGTATGTAGCTTATCTTGTTTCGTGTTTAAAAAAAAAAAAAAAAACAGTGAAGAAATGCCACCTGTGAAATGGACATTGCTGATCTAGAGACCATTCTCTTCTAGAACCTTACTCAATAATAGTTTTCATAAGAATTGATAAGGGTCAGAGGAGGCGCCCAGCAATCTGAACATATTAAGAGGCAGCACAGATGTTTGCTACAATTTTAATTTCTGGGCCACATTTTGAGAAACTAAGCTAAAATCTCTTTTTTACCATTCACAAATTGAAATAGGCAACTCCATGTCTTGTCATCTATGCTTTGTTGTGTTGAGTCAGTGGAGTTGACACAGGCTTCTTTCAGCTTGGAAAATATGCAGTATCTGACAATACGTCCCCCTTGTGGATAGTTTAAGTTAGGAAGGTTTTAAGAAAATTTAATTGGTGTGAGATACTTTAAAGATAATCCATGAATGCCATTTAAAACAAAAGCAAAAGGTAAGTACCCTATTCCTTGGTATTGAGAATACTTTTTTTTTTTTTTTTTTACCTCTAGAACTTTCTTATCTAGTTTGGTTACTTAGTTTATTTCTTACTTAATTTGTTTATTGCTAATATTTTATGATTTGAGATGCTCATGAAAGTGTTACATGCAGTATGGTGTTCCAAAAATAATTTTAAATTGAAATTAATTTTGTTTTCAGCTGACTCAGGAGAATAAATTTGTACTATTAATTTCATTGAAGGTGTTTTGAAGCATTGCAAAACTGTGCCTAAAAATCATTGCGTTAGAATTCTGGGTAATGATGTTCTGATTAAATAATATGAAGTTGTAAGACAAAAAAGATGTTTCACAAACTCTTTGTAATTTTGTTAAGATGTAGGAGTTTACATCTTCAAGGACATTTATTTGTAATATATAAGAATACTATATGTATAGTGAAATATATATATATATATATATATATATATATATATTCCATGTATGTATACACACACACACACATTTTATATAAAGAAATGCAAACTTTTCAGTTTCTCCCATTCCCGATAAGTAAATAGAATAATTAGTTGAAGATCATTGATTGGAAAGGTGCTCAGGGCAGTCATATATTTTGCTTCAGGCCTGATCACACTCACATGAGTGTGAAATCTTAAATTATTAAAAAGTCAAATAGTGGGGATCTTCATAAAATCACCATAGAATTGTTAAGTCTGTGTACTTAAAATGTAGCAAACCAAAATCACTACATTTCTCTAAGTATGTTATGACCCACTCAAAATAGAATGAAATCACTCTATCACCTTCTCTGTTCAGCTCAAAGTACTTCTACTCACATGATGTAAATTTGCATGAACTGATTTGGCATATATGTTGTGACGTGGACTCATCGAACTCATAGTCAAAGCCTGCATCACTTACATATTTTGCTGTTGTGCAGCTCGCTCTTCTCTGGTACCCTGCTGCACATTTTCCAGCCGTGTATGCAACCCTGAGCTCCAATTAGCTGCCAACCCTTAGCAAGCCCATTATTTCACTTTATTGACCTCCGTGATCATATCTAAAAGGTGCCCCTTGCTCTTATCAGAGAGCAGCAGTGTACGTAAAGATCTCCTTTGGTTGTTCTCCATCTCATAAGGATCACAGCTTTGGGCCACCTGTTGCTTAATACCTGAAAACAAATATCTTGTCTAATTTGGCCAGGCTTATGATTATTTAGGGCAATTGTTTGGGGATAAGAAGGCTACTCATTACTCATTTACTGCCAGAGGAAAAATTCCCCTCCAGAAGATATTTTAGTGTTTAAAAATAATTTGTCATTAGTAAAAGTAAAAATGTCATTTTAATAAAAATGATTAGGAATATGCTTTTATTAGAGAAGTAATAAAATATGAGCTTGGTACTTGTGTTCAACTTAAATATTGTAAATATATTTTTTGGAGTAATGATCATTGGGTGCTCAAAGTTATGAAGAATTCCTATATCAAAATTTGTATTAATCTTTATAATCTTAGACCATTTAGAGGAGGCAGAAGTCAAAGAAAGCAGTTCAATTTTATAAAATTTTGCTTAGAAACCAAGTTAAGTTTTGTAATTGATTTTTGAAAGTTACTTTAATTAACATGTTCCTATTATTAGCCCATTTATTTTTTATTTCTTCCTTAATGTATTTTATTTTCATGTAGCTTTTAAGTAGCTCAATAAAGTGACTCAAAATTCAACTCAATAAATAACTCTATATAACCTTAGAAATAATAATATGTGTGTATACCAATATGGCCTCAATAAATTTGAAAACAGAAATAATATTTTGGCCAGGCATGGTGACACATGCCTGTAATCCCAGAACTTTGGGAGACTGAGGCAGGTGGATTCACTTGAGGTCAGGAGTTCAAGACTGCTTTGCCAACACAGTGAAACCCCATCTCTACTAAAAAGACAAAAATTAGCTGGGCATGTTGGTACACACCTGTAATCTCAGCTACTCAGGAGGCTGAAGCAGGAGAATTGCTTGAACCTGGGAATCAGTGAGCCAAGATCATGCCATTGCACTCCAGCCTGGGTGACAGAGTGAGACTCCATCACACACACACAAAAGAAATAATATTTTAATGCTTGTGGTCCTCTTTTAAGAGAATATGATTAATGGAAATATGAGACTACAAAAATAACAAAGCCTTTCTTCCCTTTATTTTTCTGGTAATTCAGTTAAAAAGTCATGAACCATGCAAAGAGAACAGCTAAGGCCCATACAATAAGGACAGCTAAGTTGGGAGTTCACATGGAAGGTATTGGAACATGATTAAAGAAAGAGGCTGAGTGGGCAGTGACCTGGCAGGGTGAGAAGATTTGTTACCTGAGGTGGGGGCAGGTATTAAATATATTGAAAATATATTGAAAAAATATAGATTCAAGTCAGCTTTCTTACTGATGGAGATAGGAGTTACAGAAATAATATAAGGAAGAGCTAGAATGAA